CAGTTGTAACCTGAGATTAACCCCAGCAGTTGTAACCTGAGATTAACCCTAGCAGTTGTAACCTGAGATTAACCCCAGCAGTTGTAACCTGAGATTAACCCCAGCAGTTGTAACCTGAGATTAACCCCAGCAGTTGTAACCTAAGATTAACCCCAGCAGTTGTAACCTGATATTAACCCCAACAGTTGTAACCTGAGATTAACCCCAGCAGTTGTAACCTGAGATTAACCCCAGCAGTTGTAACCTGAGATTAACCCCAGCAGTTGTAACCTGATATTAACCCCAACAGTTGTAACCTGAGATTAACCCCAGCAGTTGTAACCTGAGATTAACCCCAACAGTTGTAACCTGAGATTAACCCGATCAGTTGTAAAAAAAGATTAACTTTAGCAGTTGTAATTAAACCTGAGATTATTTTACTTTTTGCTGGCATACGTCCGTCACAATGTGTCGATGGTGTGGACTTCGCAGGACGAAATCCACAAGACCTGTGATTATTCTTTCTAGAATTATAAGCTGTTTCCCAACAGCAAATCAAGGGAAGATCGTGTGCATGATACAGCTTTGCACCAGTGGCGTCGCATGAATGTTTCATTGTACCAATGTTATCCGCCTACGGGACTCCATCTTCGGGTTTTGAATTCAGAGTTCCCTTCTCTTAGATGAGTTGCCATCCAAGGTTAACGAGTCCCATCCACCCGGGGTGCTGGTGATGTTTTTTTTTGCTTGAATGGGCTTTGGTGGGGATTGAACTTCAGAATTTACTCTTGACAAAGAGATTTGCTCAGTCTAGAACACTCGGCAACATGAGATTTACCCTAACAGTTTGACACCGAGATTCACCCCATCAGTGGTAACGTGCGATTAACCTTACTGGCTTTAACCTGTGATTAACCTTAGTCGTTGCCACATGAGATTAACCCTAGCCCCTGTGACGAGACCTTAACCTCACTAGTTGTAATCAATACAAAGGCAGCGGAGAGGAGTGTCGCTGCGACTACATTGAAATAATCGATTCCAACACTTTTAACAGATTGCTATTTGAGATTACAAGACCGCGTACACGATTCCACAATGTCTGCTCTAATTTACTGCCCCCCCCCCCCCCAAATCTCTCTTTTTTTTTTNTTACATCGACCCGGTTGCTGCTGGCTATGCGTCTCAATGGTTCTCCGTCACGGGCCAGTTGCAAGATCTTGAATCCACCTTCAACATTTCCCTCCTTTGGACTCTGTCAAACTGCATTGAATATCAAACATTTAATAACGAGAAGGGGGGGTGGGGGCGGGCGGTGCGCAATTAGTTAAGTTTTTTTTTAACCACAATATGCCACGTAATTATCAAGCTCATAGTATAATACTTGTCAAGATGATGACAGAACGCAAAAATCATTTTATATCAAACATTAGTTTCTATAAAACATCAATTTCCGTCAAACATTTGTTTCTACCAATCATCAGTTTCTATCAAACATAATTTCCATCAAACACCAGTTTCTACCAATCATCCGTTTCTACCAATCATCCGTTTCTACCAATCATCCGTTTCTACCAATCATCCGTTTCTACCAATCATCAGTTTCTACCAATCATCCGTTTCTATCAAACATAATTTCCATCAAACACCAGTTTCTACCAATCATCCGTTTCTACCAATCATCAGTTTCTACCAATCATCCGTTTCTACCAATCATCCGTTTCTACCAATCATCAGTTTCTACCAATCATCAGTTTCTACCAATCATCATTTTCCTAAACATAAATTCCATCAAACACCAGTTTCTACCAATCACCAGTTTCTATCAAAAATAATTTCCATCAAACACCAGTTTCTACCAATCATCCGTTTCTACCAATCATCAGTTTCTACCAATCATCCGTTTCTACCAATCATCAGTTTCTACCAATCATCATTTTCTATCAAACATAAATTCCATCAAACACCAGTTTCTACCAATCATCCGTTTCTACCAATCATCCGTTTCTACCAATCATCCGTTTCTACCAATCATCCGTTTCTACCAATCATCAGTTTCTATCAAACATAAATTCCATGAAACAGCCATCACAGTTTTGCTGGTTTTTTTTAAATCGGAAAAGCGAGCAGCTGATTGGGTATTTTGTTTCGAGCGTGCAAGACAGTAACGACCAGGGGCCCTTTGGGTATTGTCAGTGCCCACTTAGGTAACGCCACTGCCCCTCAGTGATGCCTAGGACCGGCGCTGGGTCTTCAGGTGGTGTGTGAACACTTCTTATTGTCGCCTTCGCAACCCACAGTCAAATAAAAAAATATATATATAATTATTTTTTTTTAAATCAGTGAAATTTTACCGCCATCGCACACGGAATGCATATTACCTGGCAATGCCAGTGCGCCTATGTGTTGTCAAGGTCTCTTGGGATAACCAGTGCCCATAGGTTACTGATGGGTTACTTTTTTTTTTTTTTTTTTTTTTTTTTTTCCTGTGTCCTTTTTTTTTTTTTTTCTAGCAAAATTTGTGAATTATTCGTTTCCTGTGACTTTTTAAAATTTCATCTAATTAATGGCAGTGCGCCACTTCACATTCCTTGCCGATTAAGACTTTGTGAGACACCCCACCACAGCCACTGGTGTGAACCGCCGGGTTCAAAGAGCACACAATTAAAATGGAAAGCAGCAACACCACGATAGCCCCCCTTAGAAATGCCCTGTGTCTAACAGTGGAGGACAAAATAAGTGTACCTTTCTGATCTCCATTTTTTTTTTAAACCTTTAGAAAAAAAATATAAAAAATCTAACGCAGGCTTCTTAGTCAGTATCTATTGTTTTCTTTGTGTGATCTTTTGGGGTTTCCCATTTTGTGTTGATATTATATCTCAATTTTCTTTACTGTTAGGCTAGGCACTGTGGGAAAAGATCTACAGAAGCTGGAAATCCAAGTATGGAAAAGAAAAAGCATTAGTTATATAGGTCTTAGCGGAAGGAAGTGGTGAGGCAGGCGAAAGTCCTATGTGAGCTGTAGCGGCACAGGCATGGATGGATACCGTTAAGTTACGCCAGCTTTCATGTTATCTTGTGTGCATCCGTTTCACCCTGACATGGACCATCTTGTCAATAGCGTGTCACTCGGTGTCATCCTGTAGTTGATGTACCACGTGCAGCCAGCATTACCCTGGCATGGTTGTACCACCGTGCCAAAGCGGTGCCCAGGGGCGGGGGCCTGAAAATGACACTCTCAATATATATATATTGAGAGAAAAAAGTGCCCCACGTAAGGACCAGTAAAAACAAGATTTTTGCGCCCTTTGTCTTTTGTGAAGTACATTTCATTGGTAAATTCATTGTCGGTCTCCAGAAGAAGTACCCCCCACCCCCTCCTTTTACCTTTTCGAACTACATGACCACCAGAAGTTACGCCATCCTTACGAAGTGCATGGCCATACGCTTGAGCCAGTTTCCTCCCTAAGGTACCTCGGTATTAACCATTCGAAGAGTGATCCGCTGGGACGACCATCTTAACAATGTGCAACGTGTAAAACCAGGCAAACAAGACCCTCGAGATTATTAAGACGACACCTTAAGATCGACAACTCCGGTGTGAGAAAAAACAGAATTATAAAGCCTTTGTCCGGTTGCTTTTAGATTACGCATCTTCAGTCCCATAGACAGCGACGAGGCCATGACAGGCAGTTTCTTTTACCAAATTACAATAACACCCTTTTCCCTTCTACTGTACAGTTAGTATTTAGCATAACGACTACTATAAATAACCTAATACTAATTATACCAATGACTAATCATTGAAATTATTATATATTACCAAAATTGCTACATTTCGTTACTGACCATGAGTAGAATATTGTAATAAAATAAGAACTGATTTTGGAAGAGTATGGATATGCTTATACTTGTATACTTTTGGGCAATCCTAGCGTTACTGAAATATAAGAATATTTGCATCCCCCCCCCCCAAATTTACAGGTGTATCATTATCTGTAGCATTTTTATTTCGTTAAAAAAATTACTCTGCTTCACAGTAAGTTTTGTTTTCAATAATTTTGGGCAATCCTAGCGTTACTGAAATATAAGAATATTTGCATCCTCCCCCCCCCCAAATTTACAGGTGTATCATTATCTGTAGCATTTTTATTTCGTTAAAAAAATTACTCTGCTTCACAGTAAGTTTTGTTTTCAATAAACGGTGCACTTCGTTCCGTATTTTGTATGTCTACTAAATATTTGTGCAAACACAAATTTTAACCAATGGAAATTAACGTAACAAACAGCTTGGTGGCCACGTCAATCTTGATGATGGTGTTATTGTTAGGATATGAAACTTTAGGATGTATTATTATCCATTTACTCAAATCCACACTTCTAAAATTTTCGTAACTCTTTGGATTAAAAAGTAAGGATTACATTTTTTCATTTGCAGCTTGAGTAAAGGCAAAGTAAGGTAGCATCGAAAGTAAATAAACTTAAGTCATGGATTTCAATAATTTCATATTATCGATAATAATAAATATAATAAATTGTTATTAAATGTTTGTTATGATTGTCATTATGATTTTTATTATGCATGTCATTGTAATTATTGTTAGTTAAAAACTTTAAAAAATTTATTAATGCAGTTCTAGTAGAGCAGATCAGTACCCGGAAACCTTTTTTTTTCAATCACGACACACTTAGACCATGCCCAGATGACAGATGCCACAGAACACCAGACATTTTTGAGTTCAGATCAGATGAGTAGGTAGTGTAGGCCTACAAAACAATGTTAACAAAGAGTAAGAGACAAATAAAATAAATGTCAACTATCAAAAGCAGTCAAGAACACGATCAAATCATTTTTGATAGGGCGAATTGAATGGAAACAAAAATAGTAATGTTCCACAAATTCAAATACTCTAGCCTCATTTATCATTAACTTTGACAGCCATTTTAACTGCCCATGCCCAAATCAATAATATTTTTTTAGTTTTTATTCAAAATTGATATGGCGATAGTGAATTATTGTAATTTTACTTTAAATTTAGTGAATTTGAAACAACTTGCCAAATTTCACTTACTCTGTGATTATGCGTACAAATTTAACTGTAAATTTGGGGCTTTTCCTCCTCTCCTGGCATTTTGCACATCCAGCATCGCCTTCCAGCACACCATTTCCTGAGTTTTGCAGTAAAGTAGATCAAGGCCTAAATCCTAAATTCACTTAAGTAAATAATATAGGTTTTATAAGGGCCTATGTTTTAAAATTGAATAATTTAATGCAAATATTTTTCAAGAATCAAGTCTAGATCCAATTTTAGAAAATTATTAAAATCATTTCAGTCATGATTTAAAAATCTAAGTTCTAACTCAAACTACTTTTTTAAGCCCAAGTACTAAGTAGTATTAGTACTTTCAACCTTAGTAATAGATGAGAAGAACAATAGTTAAAAAGAAGGCCAATTTATTAGGCACCTAGGCATCCTAGGCTAAATAATTAGTCCTTCACTACACTCCATATTAAATTTCAAAACAGTAGGCTATACTAGCATCTAAATGTGGCATATGCTATGCCTCTTTGGCTATTGACTTAATTGACTTATCATTGAAAGAAAATTGGTCAGTACTCAAATCTTTGGAACTGTAATCTAATTAATATCATACTAAAAACGTTAATATTATTAAAACCATTTTGAATAGCTTGATATTTTTATCTCATCTGGTAAACATTTTCTCATATCCATAAGCCGATAATCCATTGTTTAAAAAGAGAGGAAAAAGTTAATCCTGAAGTGGGAGAGTAGACCGATAAGTTTGTGCTATAGATATCCATTTCCTTTTTCTTCAGTTCACTGGTTACACAGATTTTCCAAATCAATATACTCAGCATTCCTTGCTTGGCAAAATATACTGATGATTTTATTTTATGTGTCCATCCATAAATAACTTCATTCTATTTCAAACGCTTTTTTAACCTCTGTTCCCCAATTGTCACAAACTTGCCATTAAAGTTAGACACCAAGGTTTAAGTATTGTCACTGATTCTTGGACCCCCCCTCCCTCCTCTTTTCCCATCATCTATTGGATGGATTTATGGATGGCCACTAACACTTGTCGGGATGATTTAGGCAAAATAAACTAGATCTCAGTGAAAGTGCATAGTTATTAAAAAGCTATGGCATAGTCTTAGATACTGCATACAGTATTTTCGGGCATATAAGATGTACCTGTATATAGAGACTGACGGAAAGTGATTTTCTGATTTCGTCCGAAGCCGAAAATAGGCCGAAAGTTAAAAATGACTTTAACAGAAAATGAAATATTTAGATATTTTGAATTTCGTTCTCGCATACATTCTGCATACATCGAAAATGATGGGGGAAAGTATCAATATTTACATTCTTTTTATAAAAATGAGATAATCGTGAATATTAATAAATAAACATCTTATATAGCAGGGATCTCAAACTCGTGGCCCGCGAGCCATTTGTGACCCGCAAGACGATATTTTGCGGCCCGCTACATGACGGAAAAGTTTAGTGATAATGCGCCGGCGCGTTTCCCCCATTCTCATATTTATAATGTGACTCTCCGCAACGGTTTCAATTGAATCTCACCGACTAGTCTAATTCTGATATTTTTTAAAAATATTTCTATATATTTTTGTATGATAATTATAATGGTAAGAACCGTTTTAAAATCGGAATAAAAATTTTTATTTGATAGATTTTTATGAGACAAACATGGCAAAGAGTGCGGCTTTGAGAAAAGTTTTTAAAAGTAAGTTGGCGGGTAACGCACAACCATAATTGTGTAAATTGTAGCAACCATTGGCGAAAATTATTTTTTTTAACCGGGTCTCTTAAAATTGCTGTTCTGATCATGGTTCCAAAAGTTCGCTTAATTTGTTCTTAAAGATCACTTTATTTGATTTTAAAGATCATTTAGTTTGTTATTACAGATCGTTTAGTTTGTTAATAAAGATCGTTTGTTTGTTGTTAATGATCGTTTAGTTTGTTCTTCAAGATCATTGAGTTAGTTCATAAAGATCGCTTAATTTGTTCTAAAAGATCACTTAGTTAAATCTTAAATATGGCTTAATTCGTTCTTAAAGATCGCTTAGTTTGTTGTTAAAGATCTTTTAGTTCTTAAAGATCGCTTAGTTTTTTTGTTAATGATTCCTTTATTTGTTTTTAAAGATCGGTTAGTTTGTTCATAAAGATTGCCTGGTTTGTTGTTAAAGATCGTTCAGTTTGTTGTTAAAGATTGTTTAGTTTGTTCTTAAAGATCGCTTAGTTTGTTGTTACAGATCGTTCAGTTTTTTGTTTATGATCGCTTTATTTGTTCTTAAAGATCGGTTAGTTTGTTCATAAAGATCGCTTAGTTTGTTGTTAAAAATCGTTTAGTCTGTTTTTAAAGATCGCTTAGTTTGTTCTTAAAGATCGCTTAGTTTGTGTTATTAAAAGATCGTTTAGTTTGTTCTTGAAGATCATTTAGTTTTTTCAAAAAAAGATCGCTTAGTTTTTTCTTAAAGATCGCTTAGTTTGTGTTATTAAAAGATCGTTTAGTTTGTTCTTGAAGATTGCTTAGTTTGTTCTTAGAGATCATTGATTTTTTCTTAAATATCGCTTAATTGTTCTTAAAGATCATTCAGTTTGTTATTAAAGATCATTTAGTTTGTTATTAAAGATCATTTAGTTTGTTTTTATAGATCTTTTAGTTTGTTCTTGAAGATAGCTTAATTTGTTGTTGAAGATCGCTTAGTTTTTTCATAAAGATCGCTTAGTTTTTTCATAAAGATTGCATAGTTTGTTCTTAAAGATAATTGATTTTGTTCCTTAAGATCAATTAGTTTGTTCTTAAGGAACATTTAGTTTTCTGTTAAAGATCGGTTAGTTTATTCTTATAAATCATTTTGTTTACTATTAAAAATCATTTGTTTTGTTCTTAAAGACCATTTAGTTTGTTCTTAAAAATCGTTTAGTTTGTTCTTTAAGATCGTTTAGTTTGTTATTAAATATCACTTAGTTTGTTGTTAAATATTGCAGGATGGCCGAAAGTCTAAGTCAATTTTGAAAATAAGCCGAAAGTTAACTTCTCTTTCGGCCGAAACCGAAATTAAGCCGAAGCCAAAATTCGGTCAGTCTCTACCTGTATGTAAGACGTACCCGTATATAAGACGCAGGTTTTGACCATTTGTGTAAAATATATTTTACATATGACGCACCAATATATAAGACGCAGGTTTTGATTATTTGTGTAAAAAAAAATTATTTAAGATGCACGCGGCCTAGCCATCTGTAGCACTGTTTCCTTTCCTTTATCATAAATGAAAATTTTTCCAATGTTTCATCACCCATGGGATGTAAACAAGGCTTGATTGCCATTTTTAGTTTACCGGTAGATCAAAGAATTTTTATGAGGCAGGATCACAAAGATTATTATTTATTCTTATCTGCCGCCGGGCCTATAGCGGATTAGTTGAGTACCTGGTATCTAAATCCTAGAAACAATAGACGCCAAATGTAAATGCAGCTTCATTGATATCAAAATATTGAATGAAAGGATTTTAAATTTGAAGAGGCCTTCATTGGATTGGTACACGTGGTAATTACTGAACACTTACCCAATTGCTTTTACAACTAGGAATGAAAATCGTGAACCCGGATAATGACTGAATTAATCGTCCTTCAATATCACACACTGTCCTGTTAGTTCGTGATAAAAAATACTTAACTATTTTCGCACATATAAGACACACCTAATTATAAGACGCGCCCATATATAGACGCTGGTTTTGACAATTTGTGTAAAAAATATCTTACATAAGACGCACCCCTAGATAAGATGCACCCTGGGTGTGGTGTATGTAAAGTAAAACTTGTATAAGACACATCTAATAAACGCGAAAATACAGTATTCAAATTTTTATCTTTCATAAGAGTGGTCAAAGGGTCCTTATAAGCCCCCCTTAGTGCAGCTATTCATTCAGACTTGTGCTCATATATTTAAAAAACAAAATACTTTTAAAATTTAGCATTTCCACTTCAGCAGCTCTTTGGGAGCTATAAATTATTTGCTTCTTGTGATTTATAGAAGTCATTTGACTTATCACCTAAAATCTATTTTTTTCCTTATAAGCCCCCCCTTAGTGCAGCTATTCATTCAGACTTGTGCTCATATATTTAAAAAACAAAATACTTTTAAAATTTAGCATTTCCACTTCAGCAGCTCTTTGGGAGATATAAATTATTTACTTCTTGTGATTTACAAAAGTCATTTGACTTATCACCTAAAATCTATTTTTTTCTATTTGATAAATATTTCAGTAAATATCTGTTTGAAACCTTAAAGAAGAAAATATAAAACAAGTCAACAATGAGCAACATTTATAGACATGGTCTCCTTTAAAAAAAGTTTTAAAGGTAATTTAGTAATTAAAACTAATTGCTTTAAGGATTGGTGGGGTTTATTGAAAAGAAATAATTATTAAAAATGAAAAATAAAAAATATTCTTTTGAGGATTACCGAGGTTTATTATTTTTATTTATAATTTTTTTTAATAAAGATGAATCTACTTCTCCGAGTGATTGACATTTTGGTGCAGCGGAAACGGGGCAAAAATTACAATCTGGCCATACAAGAAAGCTCACTGACTTAGCCTGATGGAAATTATTCTCAATAATCACCCTATAACTGTCATAACAGCAGATGAAGATCATCTGCCTGTCATAACAGCAGATGAAGATCATCTGCCTGTTATAACCGCAGATCAAGATCATCTTCCTGTCATAACAGCAGATCAAGATCATCTGCCTGTCATAACAGCAGATCAAGATCATCTGCCGTGATACCCCTTTCTGTGGTGTCATGGCCGATATAAACAGCTGCTATCAAAATCGTCATTAAAAATGCAAATGATTCATGTATATTGTTTAAGGGGAAAACCACTCTGCATAAATGATTTTGTTTCCTATTTCCATGACTGACTGCATGTTAAAATGCTTGTATCAGTGGTTTGTTTTGGGATTTTTGAGATGTGAAACATTTTTTTACTACCACTGTGTCTGTGTAGCCTGCATTGGATTAAAAAATCAACACAGAATTTCTTTATTGGAATTATTTCAAATGGTTTAAAGTGAAGGGCAATCATTGCAGAGATATTCCATGTGCTAGTAGTAGTGACAGTATTAGCTCTAGCGATGATGGCTAGAAATTGACAATTTTAGCACTAAGCTTAGTCATATTGTTAGAGAGAAATACGTTTGGAAAAGGGTGGAAATTAAACAGAAAAAGACGAAGATTGGATCACAAAAACCCAGACCAAAGGCATTAGTTTGTATATGTTTTGAAGCATTAATTAATTAAAAAAAGGGATTTAATAACTTCAATTGAAAGTGATTTTTGAACTCATTTTGTGCCTTCCCCCTTGAATTTTGTATGACAGAAATAAATAAATTCACCAACATCACAATTTTCAATATAAGTAACTATAACTTGACATTTTATGAAATAATAATGCTTCTAGAATCTTAAATGACAGTTTGAACAATTTATGCTGTATTCAGGGGGGGGCGGCGGTGTGTGTTAAATTCAGAAGTAGAGTACTAAAATTTTACTAATTCTTTAAAGGTCATGGTCGATATCAACTTACATAATATAGAACCAAATTATTTTTATACCATAAGATACCTTGTGTAATGTACTGTCAGAAAATGTATAGGGCCTACTTATAAGGGTCTCTGAATTCATTTAGTCTGGGATTTCGTCACTTTTGACAAGCACATGAAAATGCTGAAAAATGACTTGACGCTATAAAAAAATGTTCTTGACATTCAAAGTGCTAAAGTATCAAAACTGCTAATCTCATTTGCATTTTCACCATTTCATTCCTTTGAGTTCAAATTTTTTATCTGATTTTGCAGGTGGCAGCTTTAGACTGGCTAAACTCTAATATGTATCAGTGTTTAGACTCTAAGCTCAGCACATTGGTCAGGGAGTTCAACTGTGAAGACAACAGTTGAAATAGTCTTCCTGAATGACTCTTAGTTTCCTGCTATTGCCGCTGTTGATTTATCACGGGGTGGCACCATTGAAAACGGAGCTATTCCTTGTTTACTTGAATCTTTAAAGAAATCTCATGGGACAAGTAATTCGAAGGTAAATGTCTTTAAATTAAATTTAACTCTTAAATTTTTATTTTTATTTAAATATATTTTTGTGTGTGTGTGGTAGGGGTTGGTGATGTAACTTTTTTTTCCATTAGGATATTGTGTCTCAGCTTTTTTTAAATAATTGAATTCAAATAACAAGTAATGCACCCCATTTATCCTGATTCAGAAATTGCAATGAACTTTGTAATGCTGATAAATACTTTTTTAAATGTGTGTATTTCTTAGGCAGGAATTTGACTAAATTCATTTCAGGCTGCAAGAGGTTGGGATAAGACCACAAGATTTTCTTGGTTTACCTCTCACAGATTTTCCAAGGTGGGATGTGCAGGAAATATCATCATCAAGGGAGGTCAATGCAAATACCCGCTTCCCAGACCTGACAGAGTTGCCACCTGAAATAGGTATGGCTCTCATCTGATTTTAATCCTATGTTAAAAAGTCGGCTGAGGGATACCACCCTAGACGCTGTAATTTTTCAATAAATGTCATGTTATATGATTTGATTAGTAAGTCACACTCATGATTGTTTAAAAATGAACAATTTCTAAATTTACTGTTTTGTTTTAGGGTTGTAGAGTGACAGATTTATTTAAAATTTTAGATGATGATTACAGAAAATATATTGTTATGGAGCCAATTTATTTATGCAATAACTTGTCTTTTATCTGAAAATTTTGTGATAAATATACCAACCAATGATAAATACTCGACACTCTTTGAAGCATTTGTTAAGGCAAGTGTTTTTTTCCAGCCCTTCTGTGGTTCATAATTGGGATAAATGCAAAGCTCAACTTGTTCATAGGGGGGGGGGGGGTTAACTGGTGGGTACCAGTCAAGGGTGGTTACTTTTACCCAGTTGTACCCCATGAGAATTTTTGACACCCTAAATGTGCAAGGAGAACAGTGAGGGAAACCTGCCCTCTTGTGAGTAAGAGGAGAGGCTAGTTGTAAGGCAGCAAGTTTTTGTGGGAGAGTGAAAAGGCTAGCAGCTTTGTCCTCTATTTATTTGTTGAATAAGAGATAAATATAATCACATTCATTCTTTTATATAGCATTGTTCAACAATAACTATAAAAAGTATATGTTGGGATTTTTAGGCCTGGAAGTCCTGTCACACCTGGATGCAACAGATCTTTGCCTGGCCTCTTGCGTATGGTCGCACCTCGCTAATGATGAACTTCTATGGCAAAGGTGGGACTCTCCTGTACTTTTAATGTTATTAACATTTTGAATATTATTAACATTTTGTTGTGCAAAAATCATTCTTTGTGATAAGTCTTATGTGAAAAGATAAGTCTCAATGCAAGTAAAAATGAAATCCCAATGAACAGACTATTGGTTATGATGAAATGGTATGGTGCTAAAATGATTTGCATTGATTTGCTCACACAACAGCCTGTGTCGAAGTTGTTGGGGGAGTGTCAGTATTTACAACAAGGGAAGACCTGGCAGTTTCTCATACAAGCAGCTTTTTATGTTTCTGGATGAGGCCTGCCTGACCTTCAACTCGGATCCTTTTTCAGTTAGTAAAAGCAAAGCCATTTTAATTTTTTTTTTATTTCTATGTCATTGTAAGATTTGTGGTCATTCAATTGATAGATGTGCAACCCATACTCACCAATTGCTGTAATATGGGAATGTCTCAAATCAAATGTTTACGCAGGTTGAAGCACACTTTTTTTTTTTATCACAGGCGGTTGTACGCAAGTAAAAATTCCTTGTAAATAAGTTAACTCAGTTATATTTAAACTATTGTGCATGACCTCTGACACATTAACTATTCACTTTAACACCCCCCCCCCACCCCCCAATAGGATCATTAAGATTAATAGAAGACAAAATACGCAATAGTATCATCACATTCATTTAAATTCAGTAGCTCTGAAGCAACTGTCATTAGTCGAGGGAGTTGGAGTATTTTAAAAATGGCTTAGTAAATGCTAAGCTAAGTAAGATGGCTTATGCCTTTACAATTTAGTCCAAAGATGCACCATGTATAGTTAACTATAAAATCTAATTTTCCTTGGCAAAAATTTAAAGGTTAAAAATGAATTGTTTTTAATGAGAATAACTGCTAAGATATTAACACATTAACATGTTACACCAGTCATATCTGTTTGTGTGTTTTAAAAACTCATTAGATCCATGCTGATGGGTGTAAACAACCTTACATCTTCATGAAAGTATTATGAGATTAATATGTAATTATTATTACATCACACTGCCGTTCCTGGACAATGCACTCATTTCTATACAATCCAATTTCAGGGCATCAATTATTTAACATCAAAAGGTATACTAGAAGATAAACCATTGGAAATAGCCAAATTTCTCCACTCAACAAAGCGTCTGTGGCCCAGAAAGAAACTTGAATTTGTCCAACAGAGGTATTGCTGGGCTTTTTTAGTCTACGAACCTATGGGTTTATGGTCTGGAAATAGAATAACAGTATGTGTACAAAATTAGACACTGACAGAAAGGTCAGTAAATGTGCAAAATTTAGTTTTTGTACCGGGTATTAAGAGTATTATTGCACTCTTACTTGTGTCCGGAGAGGTGGAAATGTCTTTTGCAATCATTTAAATACATCAAGTGTGTATGTTAATTAAAGACACCTCTAGTCGCTTATAAGAAATATACTCGTGAAGAAAGCTTTGCAAGATAATTTAGATATTTCACTCAACGTCACAACGTTTTGATAAAGGATAACCATTGAGAGAAAATTTCACTTATCTCTTTTTTTTAATTCAAAACTCCAAAGAGGAACGGCTGCTGTAGACTCAACCAATTGAACAAAAATTTGTTAACCTTAAATGTTAAATTAATGACTAAATGATACTAATGTTTACATATTTCAAAGAAAATAATTCTTCATTAAAATTTCTTTTATGTAATAAGGAAGAAGTTTTATTTTTAGCAGCTATCATTATCTTTGCAATTCATTAAGTAAATTAGAAGTCCCTTATTTTCAAAAGAGAAAATGCATTTTTAAGTTTGCAGGGTGTGAGGGACTAGTCAAATAATTCACAGGGGGGTCTTTATGAAAAAGCTGGGAAGCACTGATCTAAAGAATTTCCAAATATGAGCCTATCTGTAAATATTTAATATTTCAGGCCTGATGTTTTAGAACGACTTGTCCAGCTACAGAACTTTCAAAATCAATTCCTTCCCAACGCCTTGCGCAAGTTTTTCAAAGAAGTTTCAGCACCCAGGGAGAGGGGAGACACTCTGACTTTCATGATAGAAAATTTCTCTCAGAGATTCTGTGCCTGTAATCCTAAGCTGGGCCTGAGTAAAGGTAAATAAGATATGTTCACAATCTCTGAAGTTTCCACTCCTTATCTTTGGTTCTTCCTCTGTTCTCCTTTGCCCTCCCACCCCTCTTAAAACATCCCACCACCACATGTCCACATTTAGCATGAACAAAATTAATTGGTCCGTAATATGGTATTCCACTGAGAAGAATGTTGCTCAGAGTGCAGCTAAAGTTAATATTATTAAAAACTTGTTGATAGACCAAGCTGTGGTCATTATTTTGTGTGACAGTCAGTGCACTGAAACATCTATTAATTAAGTAGGGGCATTAGCCACATGCCTAGGCGTTAAGATGACATGGGCTCATGTTACTGGGATTAGTTCTACAAGTTTGTTTAAATACATGTTCTTAATTCAGCTGATGAGGGATGCTAACCAATTAAATGAACTTTATTTTTTTGGTGAAGAACTTTACAATCAGTTAATTTCCAGTAAATACATTCAAAAATGGCCAAGCAGTATAGGATGAGCATAACTTTTTAAAATTTGTTGGTCTTGATTGAATCCTACCAACATCTGGGATGAGACACTAACAAAGCAGTAACGGAGTTGTATTTTAATTGGTCCCTTTGGTCCCCAGATGCTGTATTTGTGCTTTGCTTTTCCCTCATCATGCTCTCTGTGGATCTATGCAGCCCACAAGTCAAAAATAAAATGTCCAAACGGGAGTTCATCAAGAACACGTGCCGGGCGGTGTCAGAAGTGAGCGGAGATCTAGCAGGACACATGTACGACAACATCTACCTGGCAGGACATGTGGCACCCAAAGATTTCTCTTGAAGAAATCTCGGGGAACAATCCTCCAGGAAAGTGGTTCTATTTTTGTATCCAACCAGTCATACAGGCATAGTTAAAGTCTACAGTCTTTTATTCATAGACATCTTGGGGACCGTTAGGATATTAATGGGAAACATATGTTTTGTTTCTATACACCAGGGTGTCCAACTGGCCATCATAAATTTACTGAAAATCTAATAAGTTGGCCGTAAGAACTTTAGGACGTCCATTATAAAAAAAGAGAGGCATTTTAAACATATATTTTGAAGCGAAACAAAACAAGATACTCTAATATATGCAATTTCTTCTTGCTTGCTTTAAACTTGATTGATGACAGTGAGGAGGGATTCAACAATACAATAAAGTCATGTTACAAAATAGGTCTGAGACTCATGGTCGAATGACATAGATTCACACAGACATAGACTTTGAAACATAGTTATAGGGATATTTGGCATTGAGTCAGGCATACATAGTTGTACTGGTATGTGAATATCATTTAGCTTCAGTTTCAACAAAATCATTTTTAAAATGTGTCCAAATAATTATCTTTGTAAAATGGGAAGATTTTGAATACTTGTCAGTAAATTAAAAAAAATTATTTTGAGTTGTCAATCCTGCTTTGCATCAATGTGTTGGAGTCCATGTACAGTAGTAACTCAGATCCTACAGTCTTGTGCTTTCATATGATTATGAGAGTAAATTCTTAAATCATTTAGTGTTAAAAGTGGACAACATTAATAAATTTAGTTTTAATAACCAATCTATGAAGTAATTGTTACTTAGATTGAGAAAAAATATTTCTTACCAAATAGTTGATGAGCCCATATCGGTTGTGGGAAGACTGGCTTTAATTATGCCTGTTGTATATGTTGCCCTTGTTACCTTGCAAACTAACAAAATTGTGTTATTTATACCTATCCTTCTATATTTATATATAAATATTAAAGAACATTTGTTGGGCCTTATAATAACGTCTTTTGTGTGACAGAAAAAACACACAACAAAATAATTTTTTACCTGATGTAGCCATGTTATCAAAAGTGATTATTGAATTCATGCTGTCTGTTATGGCCTTTTTTTGTATGTTACACATTGTTTGACGTTTCTGAGAAAACACAAGCATCGCCTACTGTCCTTTACACCAGCGTTCCCCAAACGGTGGTCCGTGGACCGGCACCGGTCCGCAAGCCTTATATTACCGGTCCGGAGAGCATGAATATTGATGTTTAAATAGAAAGAAAATGTAATTAATAAATCTGGCACCGGTCCGTGGTGCAGTTTCGAAACTTGTCCATCGGTCCGTGAAACTTAAAAGTTTGGGAAACGCTGCTTTATAACATGCTTTCTTTGTCAATGTCAGTTACATTTAATTTATTCAACTCACCATTAGGAGTAGTTGCCATTGGTTTCACTTTAACAGGTCAATGTTTTAAAGCTTCTATGATTGGTTAACATTTTAAAGCCTGGGTATTAAAAGCTTTAAAACCCTTTAATTCACTTTATCCTCAAAATAAAGATCTAAAAAAAAAAATTCAAAGTCGTGGCTAGCAAACTGCAGCTCTTATAGTTGTCTTACGACAGCTGAATCTACCAAACATTTCCACCAAGTTGTGTTATTCTTTGTATTGTTTTTTTGTCCACTTCCATCATTAAATTTGTCAAATTGTTTTTCCTTCTAAACTGGCTTTACCAGTGAAGGGTTTTTAAAGCCTCGGTATTTCTTTTAAATATTTTTGTTTAAAATTTATCATTGTAAAATTATTTTTTTTAAAGTGTTGCCAGAAGTTACCTTGAACTGCCATCAACATTGTAGTCCAATACCCAAACTACACAGACAGCAACACTTTGATTCAAAGGACAGCTCTTAAAGTTTTTAATAGATTTTTTTTTTTTTTTACACAACCCTAAATAAATCCACAATCAATTTCCCTTTTTTTAAATACATTTAAAAAGGTTTGAAATGAAATATATATGTGAAAGCAACATGTTTTTAAATGTATAGTTAATAATTTTTCAAAGAAAACTTTGCTCTTTGCATTTGATTGCTAGCTGGATCACATTACTGTTATCATACACTGTTGAACTACAAACACTTGTACTTAAATATGCGAGTTTTACATTTTCAGTCTTTGGGCTTAACATGTAAAGTAACCAGGTTTTATTGCATTGACCTTATGTTGATCAGCAAGTAACCAGGTTTTATTGCATTGACCTTATGTTGATCAGCAAGTAACCAGGTTTTAATGCATTGACCTTATGTTGATCAGCAAGTAACCAGGTTTTATTGCATTGACCTTATGTTGATCAGCAAGTAACCAGGTTTTATTGCATTGACCTTATGTTGATCAGCAAGTAACCAGGTTTTATTGCATTGACCTTATGTTGATCTGCAAGTAACCAGGTTTTATTGCATTGACCTTATGTTGATCAGCAAGTAACCAGGTTTTATTGCATTGACCTTATGTTGATCAGCAAGTAACCAGGTTTTATTGCATTGACCTTATGTTGATCAGCAAGTAACCAGGTTTTATTGCATTGACCTTATGTTGATCAGCAAGTAACCAGGTTTTATTGCATTGACCTTATGTTGATCTGCAAGTAACCAGGTTTTATTGCATTGACCTTATTTTGATCAGCAAACATTTAATCTGATAAATGTGAGCTCTAAATCTCATTACAGAACAGTGCTAGATATTTGATGACGGAAATCTGGGGAGCACGTCTTTTTTGGTTTTTTTTTTTTTTTTTCATGCTTTGTTTTTTTTAACTTTTATAACTAACAGTCGTGTATTACATTTCTGTAATCGGATTTTTCTTCTGTCTTGACTGATTCGAGTTATTACCTCTGAAATCCTCTTCAGCTCCAAAACAAAATACATAGAGAAATATATTTTTAAAATTGTCAAAAGGAAATCATATACCGGTATCAAAATCAAAGATTATTATGTATAAAAAAATTAATTCAGTGCTATGCAAACTTCAGACTACTCTGTTTGCTGTAGTACCTAAGACTAAGATAACACAAATTAAGATTTTCAAGTGTGTTTCTCTTTTGTCAAGAATTATTTTGCATGAGATTTATGGGAATACTCAATTAGTAGCAATGTTTAGAAGTTGCTTGTGTGTCTAAGATGATCTAAAGATGAAGCTGATTCTGATCATTGTTAACATATCAAGGCTAAGATTGTCATTGAAAAACTCATTGCTTCTAAAGGTGTGAGCCAGTAATACCCCTTTAAAGTGGTTGTTTTATGTATATAATTTTTGGATTCTTAACTGATGACAAGCTATGATATCATCGTTTCATTTTTAAAATATGTGATGACAGCACCGTAATTTTTTACAAGTAGTTACATTGTTTACTTAAAAGTTGTTTTTGTTGTATTTTTTGTATGTGATGTCAGCAAAGCAAATGAAGACTCAAATCCCCCTTCCCCCCACCCCCAACACACACACATTCCCCCACTAGGATCTTGTTAAATGCATTATTTTTACTGTTTGACAATTTGTAATTAACCTCATTGTAAGTTAAGTAAAAGTATAATGATTGTTAAAAAACAAAAACCAAAACAAAAAAAAAAAGAAATTGTGAATATAATCGAGGAAATAAGATTCACCGGAAAAATAATTCCATGTGGTTGCAGATGAACAGTAAAACCCCATACAAAGGCAACAACAAAAGACGGAATTAGACAAGAGAAAGTGACCAGCCATTGATTTTCAAATGTTAATGATGTTGATGTCCAGTGTTTGAGGTCTGTGGGACATGTCCTCTCAATGTTCCTTTGTTTCTGTGTGCTGCTAGACATGACATAAGGAAGTCAGCTTGTGATGATACCACTGATGATATTAATTTAACAAATGAGATGATTCAAAAATTGTCTTAAATGGAAAAATTATTTATTTGATTACTATATCTACCATTGAGACTCACCGTTGATAACTTAGGTGAAAATTATTTCTTTCCCTAGATGACTGAGATCAGTTATTGCCTAGGACCTGTATTAATGTTGTTCAGAAATGAGCTATTTCCCATCAAGATGGATGCCATAAAATAAAAATATTAAAGTGCAGATAACTCATCTGAATTTTATAAATCAAATGTGGCTTATTTTACTTAACCATGAACCATTTTTTGTGACTTTATATCAGTTTTCCAAAATCTTGCTGACATTATTTAAAAGTGATTTTTAAAATTTTATTTTGTGAAATTTATTTGTGATCACCGTCATTTTATTTGAGGAAAAAATGCATAATGAAACTTTTGGTGGATGTCTCCCATTTTAAGAAAGTGATGTGTTGTATTATAAGTAATTTTAGAAATGAAGCAGAAAATTTAGTTTATTTGTAATTGGAATGAATTATATGATTGTTTTTAATATGTTGTGTAAATTGATTGGGACAAGCACTAATTGTAGATGAGATCAAATCCATTTTCATAAATTCCTGTTATTATCTCCCTTTCTCTCCTGACAAATTCGCACAACCTAAATATCTTCTCCTTCCTTCTCTATTTTTCGGGTTAAAATTTCTAGTTTATTATATTTGCCTCTCACCTTGTTTACACATTTTCTTCAATTAAACAGACTGACATTTCCTGGGGTTCTTTGAGATCATTAGCACAATGTTCTTGAAGAGATGAACCATGGAAATACTTTTGGCATATTAAATGGGTGTTTTAAAAAGTAAAACTTAAAAAAAACCAAAAAACTAAAAGTTAAACACTTTCACCGTGTTGCACTATAACTGTTGGCAGCGACGAATTTGTCCACAAAATAGAAAGAAAAATTTGGGCCAAATTCTGGTCCTCATTTCATTTTCCCACTTTGTGTTTCTTTTTCTCGCTGTTTCTTGTTAGTTTTATACCTTATTATTCTGTTTCTATCAGAACTCCTTCTATTTATGTAGCCTCATGTTTATATATTTGTTCCATTAGAGAAACCAGCACTAACAAAAAGTTGTAACTATGCAATTTTAAGTCCACAGATTTGAATTGATTTGTTATCCTCATCATAAATCAGCCATCTTTGCAGGTTGTCAGGTATTTATTTTTTTTAAAAACAAAATCGTGAGGTCACATTGTTGTTAATTTTATTTGACTAAATTGATTGGACTTCTGTTTTGATTATTTATATATTTTTTAATTGAAGAGATAATTGATGTTTGCTCAGGAGTTTGTTGGGTCTCAAGTACTTAAGAAACAGATCAGGGAATACTTCATTACCGTACCACATGGCACAGCCTACAATATGGCTGCCCTTAGCACTGCCTGTAAAAAGCAGGCAACATACTGTGGAAGCTAATCAAAACAGAGTGGGGTGGGGGTTGTGTTTCGGGCTGCCCCATAGCCGACAAAAGGGATGATGGCATATTGAAACCTTATCCTATTGATAGCGAAGCCCTGCCTGCAAACGTTTTTATATCAATCTTAGTGTGTTTATGACACTTCATATGGAATGAATTTCCCACTGATGACTGTTTGATAGGATGACTGTTTGATAGGATTGCTCTTGTCAAAGACTATGACACCAAGTTTCATATGCTGGTGTTGTGATCAAAGTAGATGTCATTTTATTGGTCAGCATTTGATAGTTGTCTTTAAATAAAAGATCTGAGTGATGCCAGCATGAGGAAAAATCTGAATAATTTTATCAAATGAATGCTAAAATGTTCTCAAATAAACTAACAACTTTTATACCATTAGATGGGCTAGGGTGTGCAAACACTTCTGATGGATCACATTCTCAGTTTTAAGATTCAAGGGAAATAATTCTTATCTGTTGAACTTCAAAAAAAGTCATAAAAATGAATAATTGGTTTCCCGTAAAAAATATTTCTATACAGGAGTGTATTGTTGCCACTATATAATAAGTATAAAGTTCCATGTACCCTAATAGAATAACGAAAGATTAACTCAAATCTTGAGTGACTTTATCTTATATAATTGATCATCTCACTGATTTATGTTCAAGGTAATCAAAATCATCTTTGGCTAGGAGAAAATGCTTCTAGTTTTTTATGTGTATTTTTATTAATGGCCTCTTTTTTTTAAAGTGTTTTTAAATTTGTACTTTAAAAAAAAAATATATATATATATTTATTTTAAATACTTTTTTGAGAAATGAGCAGCTTTTAAGTTATTTGTCATAGTTATTTATTTTGATCTAGGTTAATTGGTTGTGATGGATGGAAGGAAAAGTGTGTGATAATAATGGACATATATTTGTTTACATTTTTCATTCGATGCTATTTAAATAAGATTTTAAGTATTACGTGAGGAAAAAAAAAAAAGTTCAAAACATAATTTTACTTCTTTGTCATAAAATATCTTTTTATGAGAATAGAAAACCCCCAACCCCACTCTCCCTCCAAATTTTGTATTTTAAACGCCACCCCCCCCCCCTACAAAAAAACAAACAAAAAAAAAACATAAAATATCTTTTTATGAGAATAGAAAACCCCCCACCCCACCCCCCCCCCAAATTTTGTATTTTAAACGCCCCCCCCCCCCCCCCTACAAAAAAACAAACAAAAAAACAACCTATTCAGCAGCTTCTACCTAGGAAATTTTATAACTAGGAGTCCTAGTTATAGAAATGAGGTATTTGTGTGTGTAGTGTTAAAGCTGATATCAAATATAATATTTGTTAAGCTACTCTGTGATCAAAGAATGTTGTTCATTTTTTTTTTTTATATAATAAACTTTTTTAAAAACACAGAATTTTTTTATTATTACTAATTAATTTCTTCTTTATTTTAATTTTACCTGCTGCCATTTCACGTCGAGTTAAAAAAAAAAATTGTTTAACTGGGTTGTCATTGCAATAAATTACTATCAATAAAAAATAAATCGGGGGAAAAAACATTTGATTGTGTAAACAATTGTTCAGTGTTTAATATTGAGCCCAGCTTATGACACACTTAAACTAATGAAAGTCACTTGACAAACCAAAAAAACTAAATTAAGTAGGAAGAAAATTGTCTTAGTGGAGTAGCATCGTCCAAACAAATTGTGATAGGATTACATCAGATGGATTGCACTGTTGTTTCATTTGTACTTGGATTGCACTGTTGTTTCCTTTTTTACTTGGATTTCACTGTGGTTTGCTTTGTGCTTGGAATAAACCTAGACTTTGTTCATACAAATACAATGACAAAAACGCATTCAGGATCGATGTTGTGCGCTCGGATATCCAAGTCCTGTCATACAGCTGTCAATTATACAAGTGTTAATCTTTTGTGTTACCTGTACGCCTGTGTGTCCTGACAGTGGTCAACTGCTGCCGTAGCCAGTACAATTCCTGGTTCATTGCAATAAACTGAACTAATGATTCATTTTGTAATAATAATAAGGGAAAAGATTGCAATCAGTAGAACAATGGAAATGAGTGAAACAAAGTTTGGAAATTCCATATGGGTAACAAGGTATTCCTCTAGCTGCCCTCTCATATACTGCATTACAGCTAATTGTTATTTTCATTTCATTCAGGTTTTTACTATTGTTTGTTCCCTGACGAAGGATTCTTGCCGAACAGCTTCGTTGTTTTGGTGCATTCTTTTTTTTTTTCAGGTTTTCCCAAAACTTTGTTTCGCTCATGTCCATAATGATTCATTTTCATTTTTTAAATTAAACAATCAAAAGTACACTACAAGTATAATGATGAAAAATAAAATCAATTTAACATTGGTATTATCAGAAAAACTTTAAAAAAACTTTTACAAGATAATGGCCTAAGAAAGCTAATTTGGTTCAAGTTTAAAAAAAAAAAAATCAACAATTGATCATTTCAAGCAATACAAGAAATCATTATATAATAACTTTTAATAAGTGATTCAGTTATCAATACAAGAAATCATTATATAATAACTTTTAATAAGTGATTCAGTTATCAATACAAGAAATCATTATATAATAACTTTTAATAAGTGATTCAGTTATCAATACAAGAAATCATTATATAATAACTTTTAATAAGTGATTCAGTTATCAATACAAGAAATCATTATATAATAACTTTTAATAAGTGATTCAGTTATCAATACAGGAAATCAGTATTAAACAAATGAAATTAAAATGTGAGGGGAGACAACTTAATATTACACTATGCAGCAACGAGTATCGTACTCTAACTTAGAGTCTAAGGCAGCGGTCCTCAACTGGGGGGTCGCGCGACCCTTTTCCAGGGGTCGCCTAAGACCATCTGAAAACACATATCCTTACAGCTATGAAGAATAATTGAGTGACTGGGGGTCGCAACGACATGAGAAACTGTATTAAAGGGTCGCGGCACTATGAAGGTTGAGAACCACTGGTCTAAGGTATCATCTTTTTACTTCTTTAGCCTTTTTTTTTTAATTTGTAAAATTCAATTGGGAAACGTTTCACTGAATGAATGGTCGGCCAGTGCAGCGTCAGCTGACTGAATGAATGGTCGGCCATTGCAGCGTCAGCAGACTGAATGAATGGTTGGCCAGTGCAGCGTCAGCAGACTGAATGAATGGTCGGCCAGTGCAGCGTCAGCAGACTGAATTATTGGTCGGCCAGTGCAGCGTCAGCAGACTGAATGAATGGTCGGCCAGTGCAGCGTCAGCAGACTGAATGAATGGTCGGCCAGTGCAGCGTCAGCAGACTGAATGAATGGTCGGCCAGTGCAGCGTCAGCAGACTGAATGAATGGTCGGCCAGTGCAGCGTCAGCAGACTGAATGAATGGTCGGGCAGTGCAGCGTCAGCAGACTGAATGAATGGTCGGCCAGTGCAGCGTCAGCAGACTGAATTAATGGTCGGCCAGTGCAGCGTCAGCAGACTGAATTAATGGTCGGCCAGTGCAGCGTCAGCAGGCATCCACTAATTAAAATTATGGTCAAGTCCAAAACGACGATGCCATATAAAATACGATCAACTTATTCCGAGGCTAATAGGCCAGTTCTAGTTTTTAAACATTTTAATGATTGATCTGCCCAACAAATCCATAGCTGCAATGATTTTGTTCAACGCTGATATACCATGCTACAAAATTGAAATCCGAGGTCCATTGTGAGACTATTTCATTAATTAGATCCAAGCCACTTTCTAACACCATAAATGTGCACTTCAATGGTTCAAGTGTCTTCACCATGACCACACGAAGAACAGCTCAAGTAGCCTACGTACAACATCTAGTAGAATTTTACTGAGAAGACCTTCATTGCAATGTTTGATTTGACACATTGTATAACCCTATTACAATGTATAATTATCTTGTACAGTGTACTATAAATAAATGATGCACTATAATCTTGTACAATGAACTATAATCCCGAACAATGTTCTGTTTATTTTACAGGATGCTATAACCATGTGCACTGCCCCATAATCCTGTGCACTGCACAAAAACATATGCACTTTAACCCTGTGCACTGCACTATAACCCTGTGCACTGCACTATAACCCTGTGCACTGCATTATAACCCTGTGCACTGCACTATAACCCTGTGGACTGCACTAAAATATGGTATGATGCTAACAACACTCAAAACTAAGATCAATATAATGATAAAATTATTCCGACACTAAGGACAGTAACAGTTTTTAATGAAATGGCTTATCTGCCAATTATCCGAACTAAACAAATTAAATTATTAAAAAATAAATAAAACCATCCAGTGGTTTAAAAAAAAAAATCATTGTAAAATATTGATTATTTTGTCTTTACAGTTGGCAGAATTTGCAATTGTTTTTGTTAAGAGGAGGTTTATGCACTTTTTATCTAGGCCCTATTGTCAACAGTAAGTCAATGTTTGATAGTGACCTGTGACGCATTGCCTCCCGGCGTCGTGTGAAAAAGGAAAGATTGTCATCCTGAAGCAGCAAAAAAAAAAAAAAAAATTGTTGAAATAAACACGCTGTATATAATACTGTATATGGTCAGTGCTGCCAGACCTTGGGAATTTTACCAAGATCTTGGGAATTTAAAACAAATTGAGTGGTAGCCCTGTATATGTTACATTTTTAAAACACATTTAAAAACAATCCATATAAAGTGCAAGATTCCTACAACTCGGCAATTATAATAAATCATGACAACTATTGACACATTAAATGTATCATATATGGCAACTATTAGATAGGACAATTATTCGACAGACAGGGTAAAAATAAAAACACTGTATAATGCTGATAAAATTGCCGTGTCAGTGAATTGCCACACAAGCCTTGTCAAGAGAGCAGTAGTGGTACATTTCCGGTAGACATGACTTTCTCCGCTTCTGGGTACCAACAAAAAAAAACAAAAAAAAAAATGAATGAGCGATGATCTTTAATTTATGACCAATATTTTATGCTCCATTTTATGAGCCTTTTCTCCGCCTCCCCCACCCCCCCCTTTTTTTTTCAAATTATTTTAAAAAAATTTTTTTTGTCGTTCATTTGTATTCACGGACCCAATTAGTTGTACATCTTGACTTTCAACCTTCCAAGGAAAGGAAACATAATTAATACCATATCCGGTTACTGTAAATATGAAGTTATTTTATATCATGGAATTGGTGCTAAGTATTTAAAGAAATGTGTTTATTACTGTAAGAGTGTGAAAGTATGCCTGGTAAAGATTTGGGGTAAAGTAGCTTATAGAAGAGTGGGGCAACGTGGCTAGTAGAAGATAAATGTAAGATCAAATTTAAAGGTAGTTTCCTCTTATGTTCCTCAGGCAACTTGGTGTTCACCGTAGGGTGCATCCCGAGAGTGCCGCTTAGTACATGTGGCACTAGTGGCGATGGAGGATTAAAAACAGCAACATTCTTATGATATTTGAAATGCAGTATTTTTTTTTTATTTTTAAAAGTTTCTTATAATCGGGTACCCAAGAATTGCTTGCACACAGCCCAAGATATGACTACTACTGCTTACATTTGGAGTATTACTTGGCGTTATCACGTTTTGTTAATGTAGGCAAGGCAACTACTTCATTATACTATATTCAATTAGAACACACTGTCTTCACTTTATCTAAGCCCCCGAAGAGGCTGTGAAAAATTGCACGAGCCGACCTGTTAGGGTCGTCTGTGCGGGGTATTGGGAATAGTTTTCAACTAGCAATAACCACGCCTCGGTAAAACCTCATCGGCTATGGTACCGCCACTGCGCAAAGCTGCTGTGATAAATGCCGCCCTGAGTCCAAATTCAAAGAGCTTGTTATAAATTCATGGTTTATAAATTTAAAGATAGTAATATAATTAAATGATAGTAATTCATTCGCTACATCAAAAGTTACTGGAAGTTTTCTAACAAATGTTTAAAAAATATTAACTGAATTCATTAAATTCATTATGAAAAGTGTTTTATGTAGGCTACAATATTTTAGAAAAAATAAATATTTTAAAAGATAGATAACCAACCAATCTTTTTTTTTCTTTTTAGAAAAAATTACCTCCCAGGAAATTTTTGATTTTTTTTTTACAATTATTTCCCTTTATGATGTTACTACTAGAAATTTAAAACTCTGATATCACTCATTATTATTAACTTCGAAACCCCTCTTAAAAAAATCTATAAAAACAATTTTGTAGGCATTTGGATGTTGAAGTTCAAACATGATTAGACGCCCACAGGAATTTTGTTTGTCTGTACCAAATGATTTTTTGGGGTTTAATCCCTATATTAGGCACCCTTCTACCGAACGTAAACAATTGGTATAATTTGCGTATCCTGTAAACTATGTTTTAGTTTAATTGTCCGGTAAAACTGGTTTGAATTAAATGGGTTACACGTAGGCAACATTGGGGAAAAAATATTTTAAAATTATTTTTTTCCATTAAGATAAATGTGTTATTAGCCCTAGTGTCAAGCGACAACTGGATGGAATGTATCTACTGATAACTACAGGATCGTTATGAAATTCTATATGTAAATATTTACTGAAGAAATTATTTTAAAAAATGTGTTCAAATATATTTATTTTTAACAAACTCATATAAATAGATGAAAACAATGTATACAGTCAAAGACGATTATATGATATAAAGACGATTATATGATATATGCCTGCAGGACAAAGAAATACAAAAGTTTTCTTAAATAAAACATGTTTTTTTCCACAATTGATTAATGAGACTCCTCTTTCGTCTCGTTTAAAAGTATGATCCAGATTTTTTAATGATTTTTCGTGAATACTCGTTGGGTAAAAGTTTTCAAATGAAAATGTCTGAGGCGATCACAACATTTAGTATTAAAATATGAAGACATCCGACAAATGCACTTGTTGACCCGGATTCTGTCCTTGGACTTGGCCCCAAGAGCTCGTTTTGAATGTCGCACGGCTCCGACGGGACCTTGCAGACGCCGCACGAGGCTGGACACATTGACGTCATGAAGTCTTTCAACCCTTCCGCCTGGCACTGCCCCGCCGCTGCCAGGATCTTGCAGCCTTTCTCGTGGTCCATACAGAGGCCCTCGCCTTTGCCGCAGAACTCACACGTCTTGGCGCACACGTCCATCATGAGGTCCATCTGGGTCATGCATCTTCCCGACGTCTTCAGGCGCTGGCAGTCTCCCCGCACATCGGCGCACTGCGTGGTCGGGGGCTGGGGTGGGGAGATGGGTATCGGCTCGGGCCGCGGTCTTCTTATCTCCGAGCATCGAACAAGTGGGTCGTCTATTTTATCGGAATCGCACCAGCACTCGCACGTCGGGGACCTGGCGTTCTTGTTAACGTACACAAAACCGCCAAAAGGGCACTGAATCGCCGGGCACTTCATGTTCGCCGAACAGTTGTACATCAGGTTGGCCGTTTTGATGTCTTTAAACGTGAAACCGTCCCGCTGACCGATTTTACTTTGGAAGTCGGGATCTAAGGTTGTGATGGAGTCGGGCAGGGCATCCGTCCCGTAGTGCATGATGCTCTGGTAATCGTACGGCACGCCGTGCGTGTTGACCTCGCTGGTCTTGTACTTGTTGAAGTTACCCTGAAAGCGCAGCGGGATGGCATCGAAATTCACCCGGATGTACTGGTCCCGGTCCGGGCGCATGTGCTCGTGGATCCAGCCAATCGCGTGGCCGATCTCGTGAACCACCACGCCTTTCGTGCGACATCCGGGGGCCAGGACGATCGGCTGCGGCTTGCCCTGCATGCCGAGTTGGGAATAGCAGCCGCCGCCATCTTTGAACTGAATCCGTTTTTGTTTCGTTCCGCTTTTGATGAATTCTAAACACGTGTACTTCGTCCACTCTCGAATAGCCTCCTCGATGATGTGAGCGTCTTCTTGTGGAATCGTGCTGGTGATCTCGTAGTAGACAGTGCACGCCGGCCACAGGTTCGCCACGTCGCTGACGGCCTTTCTTTTAGGGCGAGCGCTCTTCGTGTACAGCTTCTTGTACTGGTTCAAGGTCATGAGTAGGTCAAGCTCGGTCATGACCATGAGCTCACCCTCGGGCATCAAGTGAAAAAAGTCAAACATTTCCGCTTTAGGCGCGCTATCCATGATGTATTTATCCACAGATTTACCGCTGACGTCCACCTGTACGAACAAAAATAGAGTTTAGTAGAGTTGACCAACAACATATCTTACGTGTTCTCGATGAGCCAAGTGCCTAAAATCAATCTTTTAGATTAATCTAATTGTTTAAATGTAATCCTTTAAAACCGAGCATTGTTACGACTTATCAGTGCTTACTCATAAAAATCGAAACAACCAAGGAGTGCTATTCATAGTATAAACGTGTCTTGTCCTAACAAATTATGTGATTGTTGAAAACAAGCTGCCACGCTTTACTCTAACCCACCAATTTACAAGACTATACACCCAGAGGGCGTAGCTAGAGTGTTTGGTGCCCTGGGACAAGATTGATCTTAAAGGGCCCCACTTCCTTTTTTAAAACTCTCAAACCCATAATTTCATCAATAAAATAATATCAAACCACATTTTAGCGCCCCTAACTAGTCTGGCGCCCATGGACATCTCTCCCCCCCCCCCGTCCCACTTAGCTACGATTCTGTATACACCCGACTCCGGTGATCAACTTTGAAAATACTGAGGTAAATGTTTTCTATACGCCTATACCTTATCTGACAAGCGATGGAGACCTAGATGCCAAGTCTTCGACCACTGATGTACTTACTTGTAAGAGAACAAGAATGACAGCCACACTCCACACCGTCACCGCAGACTTCCGCAGAAATAAACCCATTCTCTCCATGTCAGCGCCCGACGCGTCTTCCAACTGAAATCTAGTTCTTTATTCCAAAGTACCCGGGACTACTTTTTTTAATTAATTTTTTTTTTTAAATTGTAGAAACGAGAGAGAGAGAAGTTAAAACATCCAAATTTATTTTTTTTTCTCTGTACCCTAAAAGCCCGATGATGATCTCTCTTTATAATTCTGGTGCGTTCTCTCTCTCTGTCTTCACACACCGCGCAGTTATACGTCTACTATATCCTACTGTTAAGCACTGTAACTTGAGCGAACGTTTCTCCGAGTGAGCTGCTCTAGTGTCTCAATGGTTTATAAAGAGATACTATAACAATACTACGCGGTGGGGTTTCGCAATTTAAAGACAGACTATTTTACAAAGTGCTGCACACGACACTTTCAAGTGGGGTGTCCAACGGCTATGTTTAAATTGTCGTCGTTGTGCGCATCAGAGTTGAGTCATAATCTGGACTCGTGACCGAGCGGTCGCTGGTTTCAATGAGCCGTGAAGAATGGAAGACTCGTCAGTTGACCAACAATGTAGAGGCGCACGTCCAGACGGCCCATTTAAGTTCATCCGTATACAGGGATGGTGGATTGGTCATACTGCATCTGACACAAAGACCAATGGTTTGGGGAGGGGAAAAATGGTATGGCCGGATTTGACACGATTCGTTGCTTCTTGTCGCCGTCGGTCACTAACTTATAAATAGAGATATAGTATAGCATCCGCATCTAGAACTGTTGGTGGACTTTGGATAGGCTGCAAGGTGCGTAGTCAGAGTAACTCTTAGAGTTAGAGCATCGTCTCCTCTTATGTACACAGGGACTGTGCGCCAAATTCCAGGAGCGTCATTTCGATCCGATCCCACGCTTGGATAACTAAATTCTCGCAGTGTTACTTTGATCCCATGCATGGAGCGCCAGATTCTAGGGGCGTCCTTTTCATTCCATTCTTTGAGCGCCAGATTCTAGGGGCGTCATTTTCATTCCATTCTTTGAGCGCCAGATTCTAGGGGCATTCTTTTGTCCCCCACCCCCCCCCAAAAAAATGAAAAA